TACATAGAACCCTATCTCCAATCTCCCTCTCCCCAGGACTAAATAAGTAAATGAAGAAGAGGAGGAAGATGAGAAAGAGGAATGGGAGGAAGGAAAGGAGGGAGAAGAGGAGAAGGGAAATAAAGAGAAGTAGAAAGAGGAAGAGGAGGAGGAAGAGGAAGAAGAAGAGAAGGAAGAAGAGGAAATAGGAGAGGAAAAGGAGAAGGAGGAGCAGGAGGAGGAGGAGGAGGGAGAAGAAAAGATCTCCCTTTTGAGTTTTTCATGACAGTGTTTCCAGACAGGAATGGTGTGTGTGTCAGTGAACTAGTGGGGAAGACAGCCTAAATGTGAGGGAGCACTATCCTTGGCTGAAGATCAGCAGAACAGAGAACACAAGAAGTGGAAAATCCTCTCTGGTTCTTCCTTATTCAGCAATGCTTGTTTTCTCCTGTTGTTCTGATTGTCTGTGTATTTCTGATTCTGCTTCCCTGAAGAACCCTAATACAATCACTTACTAAAAATAATTATTTCATAAGCTATAATTGTCTTGTGTTATTCTCAACTCTTAAGCCTCATATTCTTGATGACTTTGTGCCTACCTGACAAACGTGAATAGGAAAGAGTACATCAGAGGAAGGTAGGTGGGCCTCATGTTAATTTCTCTGCCTTCAGAAGAGTGCTGAAGGAAGCAGCAGGTTGCAGTGTGTGGCACTGTGGTGTAGATTTCAGGCTTTTACCAGCAGGAGAGCACAAGGTGACTACTTGGAAGAGTTAGCAAGCAAAGAACACTCATCTGAGCACAGACACAAAGCAAAGTCGCCTTGCTCACCAGCACATGGGAAGAAGAAGCTTTCAATTGTAGAGGAAACTAGACAAGGTACTGCAGAGCTTTATCAGGACATTGCTGGCAAACCAGGCTGACTTAGTGGGGTGGGGGTTGAGGTTGCCTTGTGGATTGTAGGATGTTTAGCACCATCCCCTCCACCCATTAGATGACAATGAAAATCACCTTTCCAAACCACCAGCACCAGCACCTACCAATCTCTCTCTCTCTCTCTCTCTCTCTCTCTCTCTCTCTCTCTGACACACAGACACACACAGACATACACACAGACACACAGATACACAGACACACACACAGACACACACACAGACACAGACACACACACACACACACACACACAGACACACACACCCCTCTCAACCTCCATGCATTGCCAAATTCTCCTGGGATGCAAAACGGTCTCAGCTTGAGAATCACTGGATTAGTGTATGTGTTTTCTATTGCCGGGTATCAAATTATCCTTAAGATTTAGTGGCTTAGAACAATAACAAAGCTACTAAATTCATTATTTCTATGGGTCAGGAATGAGAGTGACTTACCTGTGTGGGTCTGTTTTCAGACCTCTGATGAGGCTGTGGTTAAGAAGTCATCCTCTGAAGTCTCGAAGAATCCACTTCTGTACATCACTCAAGTGATAACTGGCAGGAGGCCTCAGATCTTTGCTAGTCTCAGGCAAGATGCCATGGCTCCTTGTTCTGTGGGCCTCTTCAGAGGGCTGCTTGGGATGTCTTACCACTTGGCAGCTGCTAATGATTTGAGAGAAGGAAAAATGATTTATGATGTCTTTTTATGACCCAGTGTCAGAAGGTGACAATCCAGTTTTGTTATATTTGTTAGAACTAAATTGCTAATTATGAACCATACTCACCTAGAAGAGAATTAGACTCCAATTTGTGAGGAAAGGAGTATCTACAAATTTGTGGACATATTTCAGTACTCCTACAGTTACAGAAAGATTCTTTAGCAAATGGAATAGGAACTACGATTAGCTACTTGAAGAAAATAATTCAGTTCATCATTCTAAAACAAATCCTAAAAGATTATTTAATGAAAAAGCAAATTGCTAAGCAAGTAGAAAAAAATAAGGCAGACAGATTATAGGCTCTTAGGATGAAAAGGATGTGTGAAGTCAAAATAAAAACAATGGTAGTTTTACCTAGACTCAATATCTATGTTACATAGAGCATCAGTGAATAGTTTAGTAAGAAAATGGATAAAGATGGATCAATAGTAAGATAAAATATTTACACACATGAAAATAAGCAGTGATCACATGGGCACAGTGATCTAATATAGTGTGATGGGAAAATAGATAATAACTGTTATAGCAATCCTAATTTGTTGATGACATTCCAAGCTCATGTGTTAGACAGCTATATGTATTGTAGCAAGTCATTTACTTTTTGCTAAATCACATGGTTATCACTACACCAACTTTCCAGCTGAGGTACAATCAAATTAAGTAACTCATAGCTTATGGGTGGCAGCAGGGCTGGCTCATGCACTAGGCATAAGAGTTGCAATGCCTCTGGCTCACAGTACTTTTAGAGCCCATGAAACAGTTTAACTTCTATTAAGACTGAAGAGAAAAAATGTAAATGTTAAATGAAATATTGTGTAATGATGTCAATACATTTATCAATAGGCCAATGCAATCAGTACAGTTTTCAGGTTTGGGGTTTTTTTTGTTTGTTTTTTTAATTAGGGAAGAGGCCCTTATAGGTAAAGTTTCTAAGGTCATGAAAGTCAGAATGTATCTGAGCTGTGTTTTGATCCCAGCAAAGTGTCATTCTTCCTGCAAGGCAACTTGCCAGTGTGTTTCAAAAGGGCTAAACTTGTTCACAGCTTTTGATTACTTTGGAGGATTTAACCTGAGACAGTAAATAAAGGCAGGGATCATGATTTGATGAAAAGATACTTATAACAGTGCTCATGGGAAACCAAAGAAATAATTCAATAATTAAAATAAATATTCAATATTAGGTGTCAGCTTAGGGAAATTGGAGGAACTTAGCAGCTTCGGTATAATAGGGCCCAGAGAAAAACTGAACTTTAGGGGAGGTGAACATGAGCAGCCAGAAGGGGACACTGCACCAGCTCTGTGGGAGTACAGACCCCTGAGGTAGGTGGTGTCTGTAAGCAGCTGCTGCATTTATTTAAAGGGAACGTTCAGCCAAAAAGGCCCTGGAAATGTAAAGGCAACTATGTGTGTGTGTAAGCATGTTCAGCGATTTCCCAATAGTAGAAGCAGCACGAGAGCATGAAAAGGCCTCACCCAGCTGGTCATTAAAAGCCCTGAAGAGCCAATGAGTAGCTTTAAGCACCAGAGTGGTGTGACAGTCAGGGTTAACCACCAACTTGCCAGAATGTAGAATCACCTGGAAGATGGACCTCTGAGAATGTCTGTTGGATTATTTTATGTTAATTGAGGTGGGAAGACCCATATTAATTGTGGGCAAACTCACTCCCTGGGCAAAGGATCCTGTCTGTATAAAATGTAAAAACAAGCTGAGCATGCCTCTCTCTCTGCTTCCTGACTGGATTCAATGTGACCAACTGCTTCAAGTTCCTGACTCTTGACTTTTGCCTAGATCTGTGAGCCAGAATAAAACCTTTTCTCCTTTAAGTTGCTTTTGTCAGGGTATTTATTGCAGCAGGACACAAAACCAAGACAAGTGACATCACCAGGGATATATAGAGAGAGAGAGAGTTTTTGGTTTTTTTTTTTTTTTTTTTTTTTTTTGGTCTTTTTGAGACAAGGTCTCCCTGTAGCCCCAGCTGACCTGGAACTCACTATGTAGACCAGGCTGGCCTGGAACTCACAGAGACCCCCCTGCCTCTACCTTTTGAGTGCTGGGATTAAAGGCGTGCACCACCAAGCCCAGCCCCAGGTGTATATTTTTGAGTGATCTTTGTGCATCCTGTGTACACACACCCACCTTAGATGTGAAGTTAGAGGGCAGGAATTAATGTACCGAAGAGGAAGAGAGTGTACATTTGTTCATTCAAGAGCTGTGTATTGAATCCTACAAATATCCACGGAGTTGTCAGTGTTGCTCTTAGAGCAAGATTCTTTCGAAAAGTTTAGGTATAACAAAAGAGTGAACCAGAAAGACGCTGTAAAGTCACAGGAAAATTTAGAACAGAAATGTCTTAAAACGTCTTAAAGGTCTTAAAACAATGCTGGGACGTTGTGGCCAATAGGGGCTGAAAAAGGTATCCTAAGAAGGTGTCTTAAGGGAGGAACTGACATGGACAGGTTTGCTTCAAAGGGATGCCAGGACTTATGAACCTCTGAGATAAAAGAACTAGTAGGCTTGGGGGTGGATGTAGGTAAATTGGGACTGACTAAGGTGTTCGGGCAAAACTTGTGGAATCTATATCCGAAGATCTTTGTTCTCTGAGAATTTGAACGTAGGCCATCTGGTGAGTAATGTGGTTATCAATGACTTGTGTTTGGAACGTGGCCTTTCTTCCAAAAACAATGCAAATCACCAACAGAACTTTTCTAAACTAGATGATTCACTGTACAATGGAGGCTACAGAAGCTACCTTTCCAAGCTGTTGTGTGGATTAACTGCACGAATACATGCACTTGCTCAATAGGTATTAGCTCGATTATTTGACTGACGTGGTGCCAGGGGAAGGGAACAATTTGATTACCCATACAAATTTGGACCACAAGTCTTTTGGTGTGAGCATTTGCTAAATGGAACTATTTACTCCAGCAATGGATTCGAAATCGAATACCCCGTTCATTCGCAGCCCACTTTTGCTGTAGACTGCTCAAGTAAAGCAGTGACTTGAGGACCTTCCTTGGGGTTGTGCTCCCGGCTGGGCAGCTGGCCGAACAGTCCAGTCAGCACTAAGCACCCAGCCCAAGTCCCAGCGGCCTAGGCCGGCATCCCGGCCGCGGTCCCGCCTCCCCTTCGGCGCCAGGCTCCGCCCCCGTCCTCCTATTGGTTGGCGCTCCTCCTAGCTGAACCGCCGCGGAGACCCGGAGGAGCGGAGCCTGCCCGGGGCAGCCGCGGCCGGCGCGCCCTCGCTGCGCATGCTCGCGGGCAGCCGATTCCGGGTCCGGGGCTGGAGGCGCGCACTGCGCGGCACCGGCGTCGCGAGCTCGCGGCACGCTCCCGAGGAAGGGAGGTGTGGGTCGGGGCTGGGTGGAGGGAGGGCCGGTGTCGGCGTGCGGCGTGCGGGATCCGGGTGGCTGCGGGCGGCCTGGGCTGCCGCGGCCGACGCCTGCTGTGAGATGGCGATACTGGGCGCCGAGGGCTGAGGAGGCGTCGCGGTGGCCGCCGGCCCCGGGAGCCGCTGCTTTGCGCCGGTGAGCACTACGGGGCTCGGGCGGGAGGGCGCCGGGAGGGCCGCCTAGGCGGGAGTTGCCTGGGGTGGGGTCGCCCGGCTTGCCCCAGGTGGCCGGGGTACCGGCCTGTACGGGCGACCCTGGAGCCGGCGAAGTGTCCCGGGGACTGCGGTGCTCAGCCTCCTCGCCGCCGCCTTCCACCTTTCTTCCTTTGCTGCCTCGGAACTACCGCTGCCCCGACTTTCACCCCAATCCCCTCAGCGCAGAGCCGGGACTCCATCCCTAGAACGTCCTTTTTGACATGGTTTAGCACTCGGGACTCCTCTCCGCAGCTCCTCCCACAACCCCCAACCTCCACCTTTGGTGACCTGGTAGGTTCAAGTGACCTTGCAGATTTTACTAATCCTCATCTCATCTGTGATTTGGATCCTTTCCTTTAAATCTTCCTTTAAGATTTAGAATTTGTAGTTTGCTCATTGCTTTTGCTACCTTTAAACGATCAGTTTTGTGTGCCTAAGGACTGTGTGGTCCTTTCCTTTACTCATCGATTCGGAGTTGAGCTTCCTTCCAGCAATTACAGGAAACCTTTATTGCCAAATAAAAGGCGGACCTAATATACTTTTGAAATATTTACTCTGCCTGCATAAAATAATTCACAGGCGTTTGTTTTTTTCTATTAAGTTTTATCTTTTTGTGCAATAAGATTGAGTTTCTACTCTTAAAATGCTGCTAGTTATAGCCGTGGAAAAAGATATCACTGAGTTCCTACTCCCTTTTGGTGTTTTTTTTTTGTGTGTGTGTGAAGTACATGGTTTACAGTTGTCTGTAGGTTTCTGCAGTAGTTTATGCTTATGCATAAATGCACTTGACATGTCTCACCAAGTCTTTGTGTAACTCTATTAGTAGAATGCACCTTTTGAAAAAGAAAGACATTCTTTTATTTGTGACTTGTTTTTAGCTGTATAGTATACTAGTGGACTGAAAATTATCATTCTTTACAAATAGTATTTTTAAAATTGAAAGTATAATGGTCAGCTGTTGGGAGCTATTAAAACTGACGTGACAAATGTGGCATAGTTCTTTGAGATGTACCTTATTAACATTTTCAAATCCTTCTCATAAATGCAGAAGTGCAGACACCATGGTTTTGAAACTTGGGACATGGCAGATCAGGTCTCTGGCCTTCAAAGAGATAGGAATCTCTTCAGTTGGCTGAAATTTCTTTTACTTCCTTACGCAGTTATTAAGCTTCAATTGCATGACTGTGTGAGGTGTCTGGGGATGTACGAAGAACAGACGATTAGCAGCTTCTGTCCTTATAGCCTCGGGAGATAGGGATGAATGCAAGACTATACACACACTCCATTTATGTGTACATGAATGAATGGTAGGGTCTCACTCAGTAGCCCATGTCCAGCCTTGGGCTTGCCCTCTTCCTGCCTCAGACTACAGTGCTGAGATCACAGCTATATGCACTATGCCCAGCATGCCTTGTATGTATATGTGTCTCATGAACAATATCAAAATCCTCTCAATTCAAGTTCAGAGAGGGTAGAACTTAGAGCTTGTGTCAAGATAGAGAGTTTCTAGTTTTGGAGAAATTGGATTTGAAGGATGACTAATTTTTCGTAGGCAGGAGAAGGTAGCAGAAAGAAGGCTCTAAGAATTTGGATGGAACAGGAAGTATTTGTATTTATATAGGGTGAGAAAGCCTGAAACAAAAAATAAAACCAGTAGCAGACTTTTTTTTTTTTTGTCTTTTTGAGACAGGGTCTCCCTGTAGCCCCGGCTGGCCTGAACTTGCTATACAGAGATCCACCTGCCTCTGCCTCCTGAGCGCTGAGATTAAAGGCCCAGCAAGCAGATTATTTTTAATTCAGGGCTAATGATTGGATTATAAGTCAGTGAGGGACACATATGTGGACACATATGACCCCTGAGTTGGGAATGAAGAAGAATAAGTACAAAAATGTAGATTTTAGTTTTATTTCTAGTTTTGGCTGCTAATGAGTACTAAATTTAGGTATGAAATTTAACTTTTTAAAACTTTCAAGCACCAGTGTATTCATCCTTCTGACCTACCTAATTCTCAACTTCATGAACTCTGAATTTCATGAGACTCAAATAATAAAGTGTCAAAACAATTATAAAAAGAATGAAAAACACCACAGCAATGTTCTGAGATATTCATCTCAATGCCAGCAAATAGAGGAAAATTTGTGGTTTTCATCAGACATTTATTTGTATTAGTAACAAGTTCCTTGGACACCACTTATAAAGAGCAACATTGGATTTTCCACTGTTCGTTATGATTATGTCGCACTTTCATATGAAAAGTAAAATGGTTCCAGTCTTTCTAATAATTATAGAATCAAAGTTTCTACAGTTAGAAAAGAAAGCAACCAATAATAGTAATAATCCCTACTACCAGGAAGACAATCTTATATGAGTGCAGAGAAGTCAACTCCTCACTATCAAACTATGCATTAACCACCCTAGTGTGAATTAGCTACTTAATCCTTTTTTAAAAATTCACTGAGTTTGAACCCCCGTTTCACTTTATTTGTCTAGTATTAGCCCCTGAATTGAGGGACAGGGATGTTCTTAAGTAAGGCATGCAGGCCTAGAGGAGATTAAGACGTTCTCCAAGTTTATTTCACTTGTGTGCTCTATCACTTTTCCCCCATTCCTGATTGAAAGACACAAAGACAGTAATAATTAAAAGGTCTGATCTGATATTGTCTGTTCTCCATCTACCCATATCATCCCCCAGACTCACCAGTTCTCAAGGACATAGAAGGAAAGATGGGGACAGATGTTCCAGTGGAAATAGAAGATCCAAGAATCACAAAACACTAGAAGGAATCTCCTGGAACCACCTAGTTAAAGACATTAATGATATCCAGTTGACAATAAAGTAGTTATATTATCTTCATACAAAAAGAAAATCACTATTGTCAATAAACTCCTGATTCTATTTTACCCACTTACCTTACCAACTAGACTTGTAACAGATTTAACTTTTGGACTAATTTCTTTTAAAATATAACAACCAGTAAAAGTCAAAATTCTCTGTGAAGTGTGAGCCTTAGCAGGAGGCCTCTAGGTACTTACCCACCCTCAGGGCTATTGTTCTTAAAAGTTCCCACCAATTCTGTGAGCTGTTCCCAACCCAATGGATAGCCCACAGGTTGCATGTGGAAGCTTCAGGTAGTCCAGGGACTACCTGAAACTAAACCCACAAAGCATGGGTATATATAGCAGATTTCTTTAGTTTCACCAGGGTTAGTAATCCACAAAAGGCTGTGAACGTAATGTGCCCATGCTGTGGAATAACATGTCAACACTATTCTCTCTACAGACGTGAATCAGAATCATGATCTTAACTTTCTTTTTTTAAATGTTTATTTATGGGGAGGGGGGGATGCTTGTGTGCCACTATACAAGTGTGGAGGTCAGAGAACAACTTAGATGCACAATTAGGCTCTCTCTACCGTGCGGGTTACTGGGAACAAACTCGTCATCAGGTTTGGCAGCAAACACCTTCACCCACCGAGCCATCTCCACGGCCCAAGTATTTTACTTTCTTCATTTCACTGCTCATCAAATTCCCTCATTTCCTTTGTCCTTTCCACTAGCTCAGACCTTTGCTTTCTCCTGACTAGAGGATAACTATTTGGTGATAAACTACTTAGAAATTTCAAAATTACCTACCAATAGCTGTATTGAATGAGGTTACCATCTCAGCACAAAGAAGGGCAATTCAAATCTCTATGTACAAAAGTCTTCTGTGGAATTTACCTGTTTGGAGTGTTTTTGACTTTTGTACAGAGTCAGAAGAAAGCAAAGTTGATTGCCTCCCTCAAAAAGACATTGGTGAAATGTAGGCATTAATTTCCTTTGGAAATTTTTCGATTTCAGTTCTGTTTTTTAAAGATGAAGTTTGATTATTTTTTATAAAAGCCTAATCTTGGAAAACTTTTATTTATTTATTTATCTATTGAGCACATAAATCAGAATCTTATTCCAAAGGATATATTGTGGTATTTTTTATTTTTATCATTACATACCAAATTTTAGTATACATCCCCATTACAAAAGCTTTTGATATATACTTGAAATTCATATTTAAACAATTTTTGTGTGGATTCTTTTTTAAAAATATTTTATTATTTTTATTTTATGTGTATGAGTGTATTTCCTGCACCTGTATTGTGCAGTGCCGTGGAGTTAGGGATGGTTTGTAGCTGCCATGTGGGTGCTAGGAATTGAACCCGGGTCCTCTGCAAGAGACCCTTTTGTGTGGATTCTTAAAACCATATGCCAATTTCTAAGTTATAGTGAAGAATAGCATTTGTTGATTTTGCCTTGACGTTTCTTAACATACTATTTATTTATTGTTTGGTCTTTTTGAGACAGAGTCTCCCTGTAACCTCAGCTGGCCTGGAACTCTATGTAGACCAGGCTGGCACAGAGATCCGCCTGCCTCTGCCTCCCAAGTGCAGTGCTGGGATTAAAGGCATGTGCCACCATGCCTGGCCCATACTATTTACTTATAATACATACTGGTGCAGTTACTGAATGCCAGACACTGTGCTGGCTCCTGAGGCACAGTTGTGAAACAACACACATGAAGCCTATTTTCTTAGAACCTGGAGGCTAGTAGAGTCACTGGCATTAAGAAAAGACTTTTTCTTCTATGGTTGTGGGAATAAAATTAGTTGCACCCCTCCTTTTCTCTGGTATTTGAGCAAATTTTGTAGAAACACAAGGCCAACAGCATTATTTCACTTTACTATGTAACAAACATCCTGAAGTCAAGTGGCTTTTCGAAAACAGCAGTCCTACCTGCTTACAGTTTTTCTCTTTTGGGCTGGACTCTTTGGGCCGCTCTACTGACTTTGCTCTTCATCACTTGAATGGCTGCTTTCAACAGGCAGTTCAGCTGGGTGCTGAGCACGCCCCTTCTTTTTTAGTCTTCTCCATGTGACCATTGTTGCAGAGTTATCAGCCTTACCTTG